GGGGGGCAGGGAAGTCCAGGGGCGCACCACACAAGGCAGCGGGACGGAACGAGCGCGTATAGCGTAGCGACGAGGGGAGGGCCGTTCACTCAGGGTCAGCGAACGACATCTGCCGGCGGCCCGCGAGCGACTGAACCCCGCGCCCGCCAAGAGGCACCGCATGAGCCGCCGGAGCGCCGCGCGCCGCCCCTCCCCGCCACGCTCCGCCCCCCGCGGCGACGTGCAGGGAGGGGGCGCTCACCTGACCTCCTCCCCCTGCCCCTCCCCTCCCGCCCGTCCTCCATCCGGTCGGTCGCGGCCCTTCCCTCCCCGCGCACCTGGGCGGCCGGCCCCGGCCCCGGGCCCGCCGGACCTGAACCGCAGCCAGTGGCGCGGCCGCGGCCACGGTCGCAGCGCAGCCGCCACGGCGGGTTATTTTGACCAAAGAGGGTCAGGATCGGTTGGGACGAGCCGGGGGGTGCCAGCCGACCGGAGGGGGTGTCCTGTGTCTCAGCGGCCAGTCGCACAGCCCCACACCCACACCATCCCCTCAGCACCTCCACCACGATGTGGCTCACTACAGCGAATGATCTGTGAGCGTGAGAGTCGAAAAATAATGATATCGTCACGCACAAGTGGCAACACCACACAGGGATGCTTGGGGAACTTCCCTGATTAGACTTGCTCAAAAAAAGGGGGTATAACTGCAGTTTGAAGAAATAATTTTGGAGTTGGAAAACACAAATCAATTGCAATAAATTTTATTTGTTTCAACAATTTCAACATGACTTGCGTTTGTGTTCCCTACGATCTCATGCTGAACATAAATTTTAGGTCGATTTATCACTATAACAACAGGTAACTATGGAAAATTCAGATGTGTGATAAAAATCTTTGTTAAAATTAAAATGAATTGACCATAGTTACTTCAAGTATTTCAATACATGCTGAGGAGGTGACACCCATTAACATGTAATTCTTAAAAAAAACAAAAACAAGATGTATCATCCTGTCTATCATCTAATCACATTTGTACTTTTACACTTGCGTGTACCACAACATATAAAAAAATAAAAATAATTTAGCAACTGCATCAGAACTATGCTCCCTTTAAAATAGATAAATGACAACATTGCTGTCTGATAAAAGAGTAACAGTTGCTGGACTAATCAGATACTTCTTATTAACAATATGTACACAGAGGGAGGGAAGCTAAAAACAAGTTAATCTCGAAATTTAGCATGAATTATTTAAAACGCGTAATAATTTATTGCATTAGTAAAGCTAGCTTGGCTTAGACCAGCTAAGCCTTGAGCATGATAATTCATTTTATGCATTCAGACTTATCTCAGAGATTGGAACAAATTTGATCATAAAACACCTAGATGTTAATTACTGTCTTATCAGAAGATAACAGGAGCATCCAAAAATATGTTATGTTACTCAATCACATCTCATAAATTCATTGTCATTCCCGTGCCTCACAACCTGGTGTTATCACTAAGATGACTTCACATAAATAACAGTTCACAAAATTAACAATGACAATAACAAGGGAATGGGGTGCCTAAAGGATTGCTCAGCAGAAGATAAATAGAATAGAGAATAGCACCCTGACAATGACATCACATTAGATCGGCAACAGCTCACTGACTTAAGAATACAAGCATTTATTTCTTCAGTCATTCAATGAACGAATATAGAAACCTAAGGAAATAACTTTAAGTGCTTGTTCTCCTTCTCAGTTACAGGGGGTAACATTGCTTATTTGACATACTGTGGTAGAGTCCAGGTACCATGTGCATTACCACGATTCACAGCCTGTGGATGAAATGGCAACTAGGAAGAAAGAGAAATTTCAATTCTCCTGATTATTCTCTCTTTGGAATGAAATTGAAGCCTTACAGGCAAAAATCCTTCTAGCATTTTCAGACCCTACGTTTGAGAGAGCAGAAATAAAGCTATACTGATACCGAAGCATACTCAAATTTTCTACTACTTAATATGACTACTATGATTGTTGGTCCTCGCCTTGCTGGGATAGGGATTGCAAAACATGTGCTCTCTGTTGTGCACTTAGACCTCGAACCATTTCTACAACAGCGTTCACAGCAGCATCAGGGCACTCCTGAAATATTGAAGAAAAATTTATTAGAGTATATTTTATAACTGCCTGGAATAAATTTATCAGAATCTATCAATTAGATTAAATAATATGTACCTCAATGGAATTTCTGATGCCCTGTACAACCGCATCTTGCTTCACAGCACCAATATTTCTTGTAACAATAGAGTGAGAAGAGTTGATTTGAGACTCAAACCAGCCAGCCATTGCCTCATTGTTCTCCCATTTGTAACCCTAGAAGAGAAGAAAATAACATGAGGATACTGTGCAACAACAAATGCAGTAAGAGGTTTGGAAAAGTTATCACATGCAAACTTGAAAACTTACTTCCATTTCTCCCTGATCCTCAATAAACCACCGTCTTAACATGGCCTTAGCTTGGCCATCACTCAAGTCTTTCTTAACATTTGTCAGATCTTTAAGGATTTGATTTTCAAGCAAAACTCGTTTCAGACGCCAAAACAGAATTTTTCGAGATTTCCTCCATGGTATAATTTCCTAAAATGAGGAAGAAGAAATAGGTTGAAAATAGAACATTTCTTCAATTCAACCACATTACTATGTAAAGAGATAGATACTTACACTAATGCATCCTTTCTCAAGCATTCTTTCAGGGGTATCATGTAGGTCAGCAAAGTGAACAGCCACTTGATGGAAAAGAGGCAGCAGGAAAGCTTCGCGTTCCTTCACTTGCTTGTCAATTTCAGCCCTCTCTTCTGGTGGCAGATTTGCAGAAGCAACTTGTTTAGCAACAAGCTGGCTATACTTGGCATCCAATCTCTGCATCAATAGCTTTTGATCCTTTGGCTTGAACTTGACTTCAACAATACCCTCCGCTTCAAGAACTCCACCCCTGCTGTCAGGATCAGCAAACATCTCAAGATGTCTGGGGTTGATGGTTGTATCAACTACAGCCCACGCACCTCCTCTCAACTCTCCATTGGGTGGAAGATACACAAAAATGGGCTGTTTGTAATCATGAAGAGCATCGACAATATAAGCACCAAATTTCATGATCATTTCGTACATATCTACAAGGAAAGAAGAGCCATGTAGAGTTAAAAAACAATGTATTGAAGACAAAATTAACAACAATAGGCAGAATTGATTTTTTTGTTTTAGCAAAGAATACTCACCCTTCATTCCGGAGGAGAACCCTCTCCAGTTGGCAAATATTAAAAGGGGAAGGTCCTCATGACTAAAGTCTTGGATAGCCTGAGCTGTTTTGTAAGCAGAATCTGGGAACCAAACTTGTCCAGCTTGTGAGACAGTCTAGAGAGAAAAACAGGAAAAGAGCAAATTCAAAAATGGCTATCTATAAAATGACTCATTTTCATATACTTAGTTGCTTCTCAAAAATCAAAATTCTAAACATTTCTGCAATTCTAACCTTTGCTTCGCTGTCCAGATTAGCAGGATCAGCTGGAAGATTGAGACTGATTGTTCTTGTTTCGACCGCTATAACACCCATGGGTATACCACCCAAGCGGGCTCGCCCAGTAATGACAGTTTGAGCCCAAGGTCGCATTATTTCTTCCCAGCTACCATTATCAAAGAATCCATGTTCCCACTCCTCAGGGTTTACTGTTTGAAAACAAAAACAAAAACAAACATATAAACAAGTGATTAAGAGAAGATATACAGAGAATATAGTTTCTATACTGACATGGATTTTGTCTTCCACCAAGCATCCAGCGTGGATCATAAGGAGCCTTGGTAGGCATGTACCCAACTTCACGGTCCACAGGGTCAGCTGGTTGAATCATTGGAACCATGGAAAGTTTATCCTAAAATAGATTGTAAGTCGCATTACTTTGAGAAAAATTCAAGCTAAAATAAACATGAAATCATATTATGGTATGTATTTTCAAATTAACAAACCTTAGGCATATATGAAAGCCATTTCAGCATAGAATAGACACCATCCAGATCATTTGCATCAGTTTTGTGAGTGACACCGTTGTTGTAGACAATTTGGGTGCCTCCAAGTTGGTTATTAGATGCATAAACTTCACGACCTAAGACTTTGTTTAAGGCTTGGTAACCAGTGAGAATAATTGGTGAATTTTCAATCTGGATCAATCGCTGTCCAAGTCGAACAACGTATGATCCAATTCCAATAGCACGGCATGTGACCATGGAAATAGTGACAACTTCTTTGTATGCTTGTGATGTTTCACCAGCAATAAGACCCGCATATTTCAAATTTTCCACACCAAGGCCGTCTTCCTTGCCTGCAGAAATTAAAACAAATTAATTATAGTTGAAATTTACCTAAGGAAATTTTATGTTGCATATAGTACTAATAAGATGTAATCTGAAACACAAATGATTTCAAGGACTGACCGATAATGTCTGTGATCTTGTATCGTGATTCTCCTTCATCATCAATGAGCACAGTTTTCACAGCATTTAATGAAGCTACCTTGGAATAATCATCAGGTGCCAGGTAGATATATTTGAAACCCTATAGAGACAGTAATTAAAGTAAATGTAATGAAAATTTAACACTGGCCTGTACTGGGGATTTGAGAGTCTGAAAACAGAATATGATATCAAATACTACTGTACCTTGTCTGGTTCTTCTGGATCTTCCCATGCAATTTTGAAAAGTGATTTAATTTCATTAGCAAGGCCAATGCGAGCACCACTGTTGGCTGATATGTACAGTCTTGGGATTTTCAATTCACGAGCTCTCTTAGATGCCAGATGGAAGACCATATCTTCTCTAGGACCAAATGAACCAACAAGGAAGGTCAGGTCATTAGCAATGACAATGACATCTCTACCCTCAGGGTACTCAGGGGTATACATAGTCAAGCGCCAAGCAACCATGCCAACCTAAAAGACACATCAAAATTAACAAAAGAATATACAACTCTTCAAAAAGTAACTTTACAAAAACTAAATCAGAATGTTTCGAGTGTGAAAAATACACTAACATTGTTTTCTCCAGGAAGCCTTTTCTGTTCAACAAGCGTATCTTGATTCTCCATGACCAATTCAACACTATCCATAAGCAATGTGGGTACTTCAATATTTTGTCCAGGTCGTTCCTCAATATATTCCTTCCACAGACGTTCAATCATCTGGCGGAACATGTCTGGGAAATCATAAACATAGGTGGTACCAGCTGTCTGAGCCTGGAACCTTTTCAATTGAAGGTAATCTTTAGTGACATATGGAGTGGAAATAGGGAGCCCATGGAGAGGGCCCTGTTTAGAACCAAATGATTCAAATTTGATCTGAAAATAAATAAATTGAAAAAAATTAACATAGAAACCTTCATTTTCTTCTAAACAGTACATTGATTAAAGGTATTAATAGCAACAACACTTACAATGCCAGTGATTGGATCAGTGACCTCCCTATATACACTGATGTCAAGATAGTAACCACTGTCATTGGTAATGCACAAGCGAATTATGGAGCTTGGACTGGTAGGTGTCGTGCGAATGGTCATCTTCAGTTCAGCTTGTCTGACACGCAGTTTCCAAAGACGAGGACCATAGCGCATGACCATGTTAGTCACACTCTCTTCAACCTGTTCACAAAATATTATAATTAGTAAGGGATGAAATTATAAGACAGAATTAGAATCATGAACTGATCGTTTCATACCTTGGTAGGGTCTAAAATAACAGTAGGAACAAAGTTCAGGAAGATATGATTGCAGTCTGTCCTCTTTGAATATGGATGAGAGAATGCCACTTCCAACTCGTCCATGGCTTCCAAAAGCACTCTTTCAGCTTCATTGTGCAAGTATTCAAATGATGCCTCTTTAGTTATTAAATCAGAATGTCTAATAATAGAACGAATAAAGAAACGGAAGTCTGTGACTTCCTGTCCCTTGGCAACCTTAGCACGGCCAAGGTAGAGGTGCATTTTACGATTGCTAACAGGAAGGGCCTCCAAGTCATAAGTGCGCATTCTTGTGAGCTCAAGCTGGAAAGCCATGCCAGGTTCCAAGTGTCGGTAAATTCGATCTTCGGCAAAGTTGTCACGGTATCTATAGGTGAAGAATTTGGGGAACTGCCTCTTGTTGAGAGCAAGGAATGTAACACGGCGAATGCAGCGGCGTTTCAGCTCATCCTTCATCTGAGCACACCACTCACCAAACATCCGACTAAGCTGTGAGTCTTCTACATCACCATTGTCCTTCACAGCAACACACAGAATGTGGATAGGCTCCAAGCGCTGCTTGATATCTGAAGGCTGGTCACCACCAGAGATGCTGATAGAGGTACTGTCACGAGATTCACTGCCACTTTCAACAGCCTCAAGGACCTTAGCAGAGACGGAAGCTGGAGATGCCATATCTTCAAGCAGGTCCAAGATCTCATCAGCATTAGATTCAAAATTTTCAAAAGAATCAAAGGCAGCCATGCAACCAGTACGCTGGAAGGAGTCAATTAGAGGCAGCTCTCCTTCAACAGTGGGCTCAGAGACAGTACCTGGTGGCAACCTATTAGGGTGAGAAGATGGTAAAAGGAATTGGAAATGCACGACACTAACTTCCCCAGACAATTCCATGTGCTGCAAGCATGTCAGGTCATATGAAATGTATGCTCTTCTAACATATACTTCCAAAGCTGCATTGCACACTGCTTTGTTAGTGTGGTAGAAGAAGTCATGAAGGATGTCAAAGATAGAGGTCTCGGACTGAATGAGCTTCTGCAGGTTTTCTGGGTGGAAATCATGACCATACATATCCACAGCAGACAAGAATATGGATTCCATTTGGTTATGACGGAGTTCATAGGCAGGTTGGTGAGCAGCAATCAGTACCTGACGAGCCCTGAGGGCAACTCGAGAGTGCTCAGATCTGTTAAGAGTTGTAAGTTCATTCAGAGTGGTAGCCAACTCATCAGTCAAGCCTGGTTCATTAGCCCACAGATGGTCAATCAGCATGGTAACAAGCATATTTTTCTTTGCCACTTGACTGTGTGAAAAGATTGTGCCAGTTACAGTTGCCATGTTATCCTTGAAGTTTTCTTGAAGGGCTGACACACATTTATCATACTGACCCAGTTGGAATTGACTTTCAACAGCATAGTACTGTCTCAACAGCTCATGCACAGCTGTCTTCATTCTGCCTCTAATACCATTTCTGTACCTCTGGACAAGCTGTACAACACCCTGAGTTGCCATGAAGAACACATCTCGCTCAGCGCGTTTTTGAAGAGTTGCGGCATGTCCATCAATAACACTGGCAATTTGCTGACTGGGAAATTGTGCTAAGACAGATGTGATATTTCTTTCATACAAGGCCATCAGTTTCCTAATTTTCTTTTCCACTGACAGGGGGATACGTCCAGAAATTGAAGCAATAACATCTTGAAGCTCAAGTAAAGGCATGCTGGGGTCTCTCAAGGAGGTCATAAACTTCTCAATAATGTCCCGCAACCTTGCCAGGTGATAAGGCTCTGGGAGACAATAACCGGCCAGAATATTTTCCAGCATGGTTCTGTACTGGTTGTGGAGATGGTTGAGTTTTTCCCCAGCACTGGATACATTGCCGTCTTGAGGGAACTGGCCCTTGTACTCCTGGGCAACAGTGACCAATGATGCGTCATCTAACTCAAGATGAGCAATGAGGGAACCAGCATCCAGGACGGCACCAGGTCGCTTGTGGAAGTAAATTGTGCCGGATTCATTGCACACCAGAGTCATAACCATCTTCATGACCTAGAAAATGCCAATAACAACAACAATAAGTGAAAAGGAGAAAAAATTGCAAAAAGAAGTGAAATTTAAAAGCAAGCAGAAAACTGCATTCACCTCAATTTCAGCATAGGCTTGACCAGCTGAAATATGACCCCCATCTTCCAACAGAATGGAAATCAGCTTGCCAGTAGAAGGAGAACGAAGCTGAGAAGGATCATTTTCCTTCTCAAACACACAAGTTTGGTTTCCAATCACAACACGATACCTATCTACCTCTTCCTTCATGTAGGTTGTAAAACTTGAACCATCAACAGAGAGAAGAATTCCTCCATCAGAAAGACGGTGAGTTTCAATCTCTTTAAATGAACCATTCATAATCAGGAAATAAGAGTTTGGTCCAGACTTAGTGGTTTGGACCTTGTACTTGTAGCCTTCATGAATCAACTCCACATTAACTAAATGATTAAGCATATTGGCAGCCTGAATTTGACCCCTAAAATTAAACAGAAGAAATAACACTATTAGTACAGAACACAAAAAATAATTTAAAAAATGAACTTAAGACAGATCACAAAAGAAAAACGCTTACTTCTCAAGTGAAGTTTGGAAACCCTGGAAAGCATCTAGAACCTTGGCATCTGCAATGTGCAAGGCAGCACACATCACACCAAGAAGTACATCAGGCTTCTCAGCCTGCATTCGGTCTTGAATGAGTCTGTCTAACCAAGCGGTATCTATTGTGTTGTCCTGGAAGCTAGGTGTCTCCAAAAGCGTAATTAGATATTCAACAGTGGTACGGAAATCACCACGAATAGATAACTCTTTCAGAGCAATGACAAGATTTTCTCTGGCTTGTTCTCGGTTTTCTCCCCAGGAGAAACAATGCCCAAATTGAGAGTCAGCAAATTCATGGAGACCTCCTGAAGCTGCTACTGAGAAGTATCCCCAAACATTCTTGGAAGAACGGAAGTTTAACTCTTGTACTGTTCCAGAACTAGGCTTGAATCCTAAGGGCAAAAGAATAAACAAATTTTAAATGTCCATAAATTAAATTTTCATAGACTAGGTTTACAAGAAGAAAACTATACAATAGTAATATGTAAGCTTGTACCTTCATCAGGATTTTCACTAGTGATACGAGCAGCAATTACATGACCCCAGGGCTGAGGTTTGTGCCTAGGATTATCAAAATCGATAGGGCTGTCACCCCAAGGAGATTCACCGAAGTAGAGGCGAATATCTTTAATTGCACTCAATGGTAGACCCATAGCAATCTATACCATAAAAATAAAGAAAATTAAAGAAAATTTGTCATTTACATAAATTAAAATACTGTACAAAAAAATAATTTCACACAATAAATAAATACCTGCAGCTGCGCAGCAGGCAGGTTAACATCAGACACCATTTCTGTACAAGGATGTTCTACTTGAAGACGAGGGTTCAGCTCCAAGAAATAAAAGTTACCATCCGTGTTGTATAGGTACTCAACAGTACCAGCACTCACATACCCAACCATTTTTGCCAATCGCACAGCAGCCTGGCAAAATTACAGAGAGACATTTAAGAATCAGATACTGATTTTAAGCATTAAACAAACAAAAACAACAAGGAGACAAGGAAGAAACAAAACCCAAAGGCAACACAAAACACAAAATTAATTTTAAAAATTACCTTCTCCATCTCTTCAAAAACTTCAGGAATTGCAATAGCTGCAGGTGCTTCTTCAATAATTTTCTGATGACGACGTTGAATGGAGCAATCTCGGCCAAACAATGAAATAGCATTGCCATACTGATCAGCAAGAAGTTGGACCTCCAAGTGACGAGCACATTTAGCCAATTGCATAATGAAGATAGGTGAGCCTGGTACTTCAGCTTGTACCTATGAAAATAATGAACAAAGTGCAATTATTCTGTACTATACAAATTATAGTTTTAAAAAATCAAGTGTGGCAGGGAAAATAGAACTTACCTGTCTGAAAGCATTTGCAAATTCTTCGTGGTTTTCAACCTTACGAATACCTTTACCACCACCACCCTCAGAAGCCTTTATCATGATGGGGTAGCCAATTCTTAATGCAGCAGCTGCACCTTCCTCTGGTGAGGTCACACAACCTTTCCTGTACAGCTCATTTGATATTTTAATTTTATTGTTTTGGTATGTGGCAACAAGCTCTGAAAATTAAATTGGATTCAATGAAATGATGGATATGGAATTGATTTAAAATGCCAACTACACAACGGACGGAATACAGACCTGATCCAGACCAGGGCAGGGTAGGAATGTTTGCAGTTTGTGCAACAATGCTAGAAGCAATTTTGTCTCCAAGTGCCCACATGGCTTTTTCGGGAGGACCAATGAACATAATATTGTTTTTGTGCAACAGTTCTGGCAGCTTAGGGTTTTCTGATGCATGTCCCCAACCAGCCCAAACGGCCTGAAATAAATAATATTCATTGTAGAATGTATTGAAACAGAAAGACAGTGGTATATGAAAGGCATAATAGTCACAACCACAACACTCACCTGTACTTGATTCCTAATAGCAATGTTAAGAATGAGCTCAACATTTGCATAGTTATTGTTGTTACTTCCTCCAGGAACAGGTACATAGAGGTCAGCCATTTTAATAAATTCAGCGTTCGCTAGAAACACAAATGAGTTTTAATACAATTTAAACTTACAAGAGACACACTCTTTTGATGACTATGGGTAATGATTAACAACTGACCTTTAAGATCCTCAGGAGTGACCATAACAACAAAACGAACTGCTCGCTCATTTTTGAACATTTCATATGACCAACGGCGAATAGAACGCATACACTTAACTGCAGCAATTCCATTGTTGGCAATAAGGACCTACATAACAGAAGAAGATAAGAACTTGAGAGAAGCTGTTTACCAACCACTAAAAATCCATTTAGAATAGAGTCTTTCAGATAGCTAGTCGATGACTTGTCACTTACCTTATTAATGACTCTTGTACCTCCAAAGCGGCGCACAAATTCCTCTGGAGTGGCGACAGTGAAATCTTTGTCTTGAAGGCGTGGGTGCATCACAGTCCCCTGGGACATAGATGGCCTAAAACACACACACACACAAAAACATTTTTTTAAATTGCCAAACCGGGTGTCAAAAGACTGATGACCACTAAAACACAGTTTTGACAAAGTGCATTTAAGCATGTACACCAAGAAAATTTGCACCAAAAAAAAAGTAATCAAACAAACGTAGCCTTAAAAATAATCTTGCAAGATTTACAACAAAACAGCAAAAGAAACCACACTAAACTATAAAACGTTTGCCAACAGTGTTTGCGCGGGCACCTGGACAGCCGCGGGGGCGGAGGGCGCCTGCCCGCGGTGCGAAGCAGGCGCCACCAGCGGCCCGAGCCCAGCCCCGCGGCGCTGCCCATGGGGGCGGGGCTGGCGGCGGGCCTGGAGGCAGGCGCCGGGCCGCGCCGAGGAGGCCGTCGACCAGCTGGCTGCTGCCCCGCGGGCGCCCGGTCCCATCCGATCCGGGTCCTCCGCCAAGTCCCCACGCAACCGGCTCCACCACGACGCGGCGCACTGAGGCCGAAGCCGGCGGCGAGGCCGACGACGTCGTCGGCCTCCGCGTCCAAAGGGCGGACGGTGCAGGACCGCGGCGTCGTCTCGCTCCCACTCGCGGGCCAGGATGCCGGCCCGGCACCGCGGACCGCGGGCGACAGGGACGGCGCTAGACGCCCCCCCCCCCCCCCCCCCGGCACACACAGTTCGAGACGACGCGGAAATAGACGAGGCGCTGCTCAGGCAGGCGGCGCCCGGGAAGCAAAGCCTTACGACTGCCACGGAGGGGCGCAATTGAAGGGGGGGGGGGGAGCAGAAAAGAAAGACGGAGGGAAAACTGAGAGGAATCGGACACCACAGCCACGAGCACGCACTTGTCCACCCGCTAGGTGCGTGCGTCGCGCAGGGCAAGGTCAGGTTCAAGACGCTCCGTCAGCCTGGGAAAGTATTTTAGGAAAATTTTACAAGATTTTTTTCTTTTTTGATTCACGAGAAATTTCATTTTTTTAAAAAAAAAAAATTTCTGAAAAAGTTTTGAATTTTTCCTGGAAAATATTCGGACCATCAAAATTCCCAGCGACTTTTTCTCTCACGCCGAGTACCTCATATCCTGATCGGCGCACTGGCCGCACAGCTGGCGCGGCTGGGGCCCCGACACCCGCGCGACCACCATGGCGCGGCGTCGGCGGCGGGAGCAGCGACTTCCGGGAGGAGACCAAGCCCTGTCACCAAGTACTACGAGGAGCGCGCCCTTCTTGTCCACCCACCGCACGCACCGACCGACACTTGACTGCCGATCGGTGCAGAAGGCCCTGCCGCCGTCGCCATGGGGGGGCCACCAGCGGGAATGTCTCAATCCCGGCGACTACGTCACACAATCCGAACAAAACAACAGATAGCAAATCGTGTAACAATAATAGTAATAGTGGTTACGGCAGCAAACAAGTTTGGCGGCGATAATTCCAACACCGCCTGCGCGGTTACAGACGTTATATTTCAACCCCCACAAAGGCAGAGAAGGCTCAAAAATACTCCCAATGCTTTCAATTACTTCTTCCCACGTGCCAAAAAAATAATAAAAAAAATGACGCTGCAAAACCTCAAAACGGTTATATCATGCGCGTGGAATTTTGACGGAATCGACGAAACCTCATGAGAATTACCCACCCACGGCAGCTCGAGACTGTCGTGGTACTCGTGTACCCAGGAGGATGACAAAGGGCGCTAGTCACAAGAGGGGCCCGAGCCCCGAGCCCCCCACCTTCTCTCTCTCTCGTTCTTTCTCGGAGGGAATTCCCGCGCGACGCGACGACGCCGTAGGCCTCTAACGGACGCCCCACATCTACAAGAGGAAAGAAGGGAAGAGGACCAGGACCAGGACCAGCCAGCAGCGTGCAGAGACACTCTACAAATATGCCATTACCAAATGCATTGACTTCCGTTATTAAAAAATAAAAATAAACTAAATTAAC